GTAAAACCACTATGGAAAGCAGTATGGAACTTCCTCAGAAAACTAAAAATGGATCTGCCTTTTGACTCTGCAATTCCACTGCTGGGACTCTATCCTAAGAATACTAAAACACCAATTCAAAAGAGCCTATGCATCCCAATGTTCATAGCAGCACAATTTACAATAGCTAGATGCTGGAAGCAACCAAGATGCCCATCAGTAAATGAATGGATCAAAAAACTATGGTACATTTACACAATGGAATTCTGTGCAGCAGAAAGAAAGAAGGAGCTCCTATCCTTTGCAACAGCGTGGATGGAGCTGGAAAACATTATGCTTAGCGAAACCAGCAAGGCAGTGAAAGACAAATACCATATGATCTCACCTTTAACAGGAAGCTAAATAACAAAACAAAGAAATAAGCAAAATATAACCAAAGACACTGAAATAGAGGACAGGCTGATGGTGACCGGAGGGGAGAGAAGAGGAAATTTAACGGGACAATGGGAAGGGTTCACAGGAACAAACTTAAAGGACACATGGTCATAAACTAAGGGGAGGGTGGTAATGGGAGGGAAGTGGGGGGGTGGGAGGGGGGGACAGGATTGGGAGTAAAAAGGAGAAAACTGTATTAGAACAATGATTAAAATAAAAAAATAAAATAAAATAAAGAAGCTAATCTGAAAAAAAAAAGAATAGGTTTTTTGCTTTCATTACAGAAGAGACAGCTTAGAAAATCAAAGATCTAACTTCTGTCTAGTATTCATGGTCTACTTTCCTAATAAATGCCTGCTAGTAAAAAACCCCAGTAGTTTTAAAATTTTAATTACTATTTATTTCCTTTTATAACTTTTTCCAAGTTCCCTCTCATCCTTCCTATTTAGGAGTGGAGGAATAAATAGAGGCTATTTATGTTTGTTTATTTTTTTTTTTAGCTCTATAAAACTCTTGTTTAATTTTTGGGGCTGCATAAGACCAGGTAAATAGTATGATATCAAGAAAATTGTTCACAAAAGGTTAATGCAATTGAATTTTTGCCTAGTGTATAGTTTATCAATTTAGAAAATAATATTACCTTTTAAAAATATTCAGTTTCAGAATGGCATGCAATATTTTGGGGGTCATCTAGATATTAACATTAAGAACTTGGACATTCTGAACACTGTAGATTTTGATTTTTAAGGTCACAAAGAAAACATGCAGTTTTAAACCTTCTTTCTGTGTCCTGTGAAGCAAAGAATCATAGTTTTCACTGTTACTGAACAACTGTATTATTTTTTGGTGCTAATACAACATAGTCTCAACCTATCCTGATAAGTTTGTACTAATATACATTTGTGAGATAATCAATGGCTTCATTCTATTTCCATGCATTGCATTTCACACAGTTATTATAAACAGAAAGAACATCCAAGTCTTTATTGCCTGAGAATAGATTCTTTGATGTGTGAAATTGTTTAAAAATCATTATTGGCCCTGTGTTTCACAATGGTTAGGAGCAAAAGAAAGAGGTCTGGCCCTGGCTGGTGTGCCTCAGTTGGTTGTAGTGTTTTCCATACGCTGAAAGGTTTTGCATTTGAAATCCTAGTCAGGGCACATGTCTGAATTTCTGGTTCAATCCTCAGTCAGGGCATGTACAGGAGGCAACCTATGGCAACTAATTGATGTTCTTCTCTCACATCAATGTCTGTCTGTTTGTCTCTCCTTCCACCCCCATCCCCTTTCTCTCTAAAAGCAATGAAAACATGTCTTTGTGTGGGGATAAAAAAAAGAGATCTGTGTATTTTGAATGAATTAATAGATAAATTTATTTATTAATCCCTCATATTGGCAACTCTTAAGACTTATTACTTACAAGAGAAGTGAATCCTCTGAATTCTAAATGTGTGATGTAGGTATTGTTTATTTTCTTGCAAATCCAGGGTGAGTCTTTGGTGGACACTTATTATGAGAATATCAGAAATAGAAGGCACCTGTGAAACTATATGTAGTTGAAATTTTCTTTTTCTAGATAAGGAAGTGGAGGCCTAGAAAAGTGACTGGATTGCTTTGAGTTGCATATCTCATTAGTGGTAAATTAAGTTTCATTACTAACAATAGGATCTCAAAAATAATATTCTGCCTGTAGTTTGAGTGCATTCTCCTGAATATGGGTTTGCTGGATTAGGTAGAAACACTCCATTTGACTCCTCATACATCAGACAATGTTACAACCAAGAAAACACAGCCTGATTACTACATATGAAATGATCCTCTATGTTAGAGCTCTATGAAAAACCATTTTAAAAGCATCTGTGCAGAAGAAAATATGTCACCCCTCTTTGATTATCCATTCTCATGTTTAACAGCCATCACTTCAGAAATATTTTTTTATACCAGAAGGTTTCATATTTGGGTTTCAGAATCACTAAGGAATCCATATTATGTGGGTTTCTGAACACCCTGAAATTATGTGCTTAATTTAGTTCATAGCTTTTATAAATTTCTCAAAGAACCACTACCCAAGATCAACTTGGATTCCTAGTCTACAGTTTAGCAGTTTCTTTTTGCCTTATCTTCCTTGGAAGATACTTCCTATCCTCTATATTGTAACTCTACATTAATTTGGAGATTATTAATGTTTCCAAATAAAGAATTTCAGATCAGTTTAACTTTTCTTATAGGCTCCTTTTTTCCTCCACATTTTAAATCATTTTTATGGCTATCTTTTGAATACTTTCCAAATTCTTGGTAAACCTGAAAGCCAAGGAGCTTAGAATTAGAACTTATATATTAATGAAGATCTAGTTTAGGAGCTTGGATCTGCTGACAGTGAGTGGTTTCTTAGGGTTAGGGGCAGTAGAAATAAGACTGAGGAGCTAGGTCCATAAATGCACCCCCCTTCAAGGTAGTCTGGCAGACCCTCACAGTCAAGAGCGTCAGAAGGTGAAGGCCCCAGGTTAATCTTAAAAGGATTAGACATATTATTTCAAAGTTCAAAGCATAGTAAGCAAGCAGATCCTGAATATAGGTGTTGGGATAATGAGCAGGAAGCAAGCCCAGATGTGAAGGTGACACAGAATCCAGCAGAAAATCTACATATGAACAAACTGTCACTTTTCTTAGTAAAAATCAATGCAGTCTTCCATTATTGACACTCTTCACTGGGAAAGGGTATTGTCTTCCAGATTTCCCTTCACCTATAACGTTCACAGTCCCACTAGCCTCCAGATGTTAGATTCCTGTGACTTACGATGCCAAGAGGTGTGGCTAATGGAAACAGTGGGGTGAGGTTTACAAGCTATAATATGTGAAGTAGGTTATTAAAATTACTGGGGTGGGAAGGGATTATAGAACTCTGATGAAACTATGGATGGGCTTTCTTTCTAGAAGAAAGGCACCAAATACTCATACATATTGTACAAATAATTTTATACAATCTAACCTGTCTTGAAACTGATTCATGGTTGTTAACTGGTTGAGAAATGTGTTATTCTGTATTATCTGCTTGTTTCCTGTCCTTTATTAATGTTTTATATAATTGTTTCATTTGCTATCTGAGCTATGCTGGGGAGGTTTGGGCATGCAGTGTCCACATGTGAGCCAAAAGATTAACAGGGGAAGCAGCAACACTGAGGCCACGGCATTGGTGACACCAGTACTTCAGAAGATATCCTTGCGGGGCATGGTGAATTTGGGGGTGAGGACTGTGCCAAAGAAGTCTACCATCCCCTTCTCACTGGGTAATTCTACCTCTGTTCCTATGCTACGGTCTAGGTTTTATTTAGGCAGCTAAGTAGCCATGACTTTATGAATCATGTAATGCAATACTGATACTGAACTGGTTAGTCGTGTATGGTTCTTAATGGAGTGTAGCATCCAGTTCCCAAGCATGGATGGCCTAGACCCTCAGGCAGTGGGTGAGACCTCTGGCCAAGGTAGGGTGGGAGGGTAGAGCAGGAAGAATGACTTTGGTAAGACATCCTGAACTTTACTCATGGCTCTTTGTGACTGTTGTTAATTTTACTCATCCATGCTCACTGGCAGGCCCTCTTACTCTATCTAGATTTATTAAATATATAATTGCATTTAGAGAGTAATTATATGGATAATTCAAGCTAAATAAAACTTCATTTACCACAAATTGAAGGTCCTCTGAAACAGAATACCTGATCTATCTAGTTAATTCTATATTTGTAGAATACCTAGAAAAGGGGGGAAAAGCCCTTTTTTATTTTTTAAGATTTTATTTATTTATTTTTAGAGAGAGGTGAAGGGAAGAAGAAAGAGTGGGAGAGAAACACTGATGTGCAAGAGAAACATCAATCGGTTACCTCTCTCATATCCCCAACTGGGGACCTGGCGCACAACCCAAGCATGTGTCCTGACTGGGAATTGAACCAGTGACCTTTTGGTTTGCAGGACGATGCCCATCCCACTGAACTACACCAGTCAGGGAAAATGTCTTGTTTTTGTTTTTGCTTTAAATTATAGTAAAAAAAATATATTTGAAGAAGGTATTTCCAAATCTGTAAGTATTTAAAGGGTCTGTTAAATGAATAAGAATCTAGTCTCCATCTTTTGCTTTTACTGTTTTTCCTGTTCCTCCTGTTACCTGATCTCTTCAAATTCTGTCTATTCTTGAAAACCAGTTTGGGGCCTCCCCTTCCAATAATACAGATAGTAGAACCTACTTTGATGACATTTAGGAGTATAAATGAGATAATCCCATTCTGCCTTTAGCATAGGGCCCAGCACATAATAAGCGTATGTATGCTAGCTGAAAAAGATGGTAATTGTTATGATAATGCATTTTCCAAATACTCTGGTCAGCATTTGACCTTATTCTCAGACCATAAAATACTTACTTTCTATACTACTTTTTGATACTAGCTTCCTAGTTTAGATGTTGTTATTTTATCTTCGTAATGAGATTACAAACTTCTTCATAGGCAATATAAAACTTGCTGAATTCAGTTGAAAATTGACATTCACTTTCTCTACAAGCCCCATGGTCTTATTTTGATTCTTTTTCTCAACAGAAAATGAAAACGCTAGCAGAAAGGAGGAGGAGTGCACCCTCTCTTATCTTGGATAAAGCCCTACAAAAACGGCCTAGTACCAAGTAAGTGAAAAACTTTGTATCATACATTTTATATGTGCTGCATCTTTTTTACGTGTGAGGTTGTTTACTTACTTGTTTTTTATCAGCATCAGAATTCTGTTTAATGATAGAAAATAGGACTGCTGTTCTGAGGTTATGAATAAGGCTAATTCTTTCTGTGAATCATAAAGCATTTTAGAGCTGGCACATCTGATCAATTGTTTTAAAATTTATTCTCAAGTGGATCCCACATCACATAGTACACAAAAATACAAGTTCTACACACTGTTAAAGTTTATTTATAAAATAATTAGAAATTGGAATACTAAAATACGAGTTATTTTAACCACCATACATTTTTGGTTATACACAAGCCTTTGCCTAGTTCTCTGTCATAAAATGATGCCTATGCATGGTTATAAGACAAATTTTCTGCCAATTGTAGATATGAAGAAAGATTAAGATTATTGAAAATGGGTGGAACTGGAGAGCATTATGCTAAGTGAAATAAGTCAGGCAGTGAAGGACAAATACCATATGACCTCACCTGTAAGTGGAACCTAGTCAACAAAACAAACAAGCAAGGAAAATATAACCAGAGACATTGCAATTAAGAACAAACTGACAGTAACCAGAGGGGTATGTGGGGGGGGGCGGATAATGGAGGGAAGGGAGGAAGGGTTTTCAGGAACAATTATAAAGGACATGTGGACAAAGCCAAGGCGGGGTGAAAGCAGGGGAAGGAGGTGGGGGTAGCTGGGGTGGAGGGGAAGTGGAAGGGGGTAAATGCAGATGACTGTACTTGAACAATAAAATAATTAAAAATAAGAAAATAAAAAGTAAGGGATGTTGATTTCTTTTAGCCATTATTGGTTAAATTAATTAGTGAATTCATTAGTGAAAATTGAAGTGGAAAAACAAGCTAATATCTAGTGAAATGGTCATGTTACCTAATGAGGCTGAATACTATTTCAATGGACATTTTAAGAATATTACAATGTGTAGAAATTGAATGGATATTCAATCATTAACTTATTCATTAATTTTAAAATGGTATTGTAATTCAGAAGTTATATGTTCAAAGGAATCCTGTAATGATATTCTACTAATCTGTGAATCCTTTTATGTAAATAGAAATCCTTATCACCTTTATTTAAAGTGAGGGTACATCTGATATTTCTATGAATTATGTGCTAATTTAACACATAAAATCTATATAGAAGCATGGTATTTTTTCAATGCCAAAAAATAAATTATATAGCTAAATCCCAGTCAGTGAAACTTTCAAAATACTCAGTACTCAGCAAGTTCTGAGACTTAGGCAGCCCCCTACCTGCCCCCCCCCCCAAATACACATGCTATAGTCATTGGGTGATCAGGAAATGTGAATTACTTTCAATAGAAGCCTAATAAAAATTTAATTAGGAAGATACTCTTCTCCCAAATAAACAAACAACATAGTAATACATTTCAGTACCATATTTAAATAACCTTTAGATTATTTGCCTGTGTGCATGTCTTTGCATTAGTATGGATAAAAGAGAATGATTATAGGTTCACAATTTGACCTTGATTGCCTAGAAAACTCAGGAGAAAGTATTTTTTAGAGGAAGTAGAGAGGGGAGGCAGAATTATCAGTATAACTGTCTTTAATTCTACTATGTATGCAAAAATAGCTTTATTATTTACTTTTTTAAAAAGCAGAAACAGTTTAAGGTAAAATTTCTTACTAGAAGCTTCTGGGTTGGATGAATGCGAGGCTTTTCAATTAAAGTAGTCTTTACTTCAGAGAAGCTTTAGCCTGAGATCAGAGGTCAACAGTGACCAGTCTACTGCTTAACCCAGGGCAAGCATCTGTAACAGTGCAACTGTAGGCATTGAAAGCTCATACAGACCAGTGGTTCTCAACAGGGGGGTACTCATCTTTAGGGGGCATTTTGAAATTTTGTACAGCTTTTGAGTTTGTCCCAAGGATTTAGTAGGCAGTGGCCAGAGATGCTAGACAATCATGTAATGCACAGGACATCCTACATAACAAAGAATTGTGTGGTTACTGCATAGCTTTTGGATGTCACATATAGGGCATATTTGTGAAGGAGGGAAAACCTTTAAATAATTATCCATGCCTATAACTTAACTCTTTATATAGAAATACTAAGTGTTTTATATACTTTTGTATAGTTTCAAAAATCACTAAAATTTCCAGAAATGCAGCTACCTTGTATATCAAGAGATTATTGTACTTTGTATTCTTTGAAACCATTTCAGAAAATCACCTGGTTTTATTTCAGTTTCCTGTACTTGTTGCATGGAATGATTTCTTATCCTACTTCTCTTAAATTTAAATATGTTAATTAGAAGTAGGTATAAGTCCCTGATCACTTCATTGTCTTTTAGTATACTCATGCCTGAGCATATACATATTGAAATACATAATTTATTATTAATTACTTTCATTTCATTTGCTTTTATGTTATTGTTAGGGTATTTTATTGATATGTTTTCATTTCAAGATGGAAAAGGAGGAATTAGAGTAAGTGTATATGCATAGACTTTTACATAAAAAGAGGGGCATATGGTTTAATAGGATTGAGAACAACTGAAACAGATGAAACAGCAGGTTAGAGAAAATGCTAACACTTGTCTGACTTCCTGAGATTGTTTTAAGTTCGAGAACGAGTATGATAATGTGCAGTCATCTCCTGTCTCCTCATCACCTCTGCAATAATTGGTACTTACGTTAGAGCCAGTTTCCCAAATTCCTGCCTCAGAAATATGATAGGGTTTTAGTCAAAGTAATTGCAGCAAAAAAAACTTAATTTTAAGTTGTATATATTTTAATCTTCAGTCTATTTCCTGTGAGTTTCTCTGAGTCAGTAATATGAGTACACAGTGCTGGGGAACAGGACCTTTACCTATCTTATAGAAATGATGTTTTTACTCTATGTAGTGTTGGTGGTTAATGTATATGCCTACCTACCCCCTCACCCAAAAAACTGTTGGGTGTTGTATGTATACAAAATATTTTCAAGTAAAATAATTCCAGGATTGGAAAGAACCTTAAAGGTCAACTAGTCCAGTAGTTTCTAAGTCAGTATTCTGCTGTGGGACCCAGGCACATTATTAAAAAATTATTCATAATAAAATAATGCTTTGTACATACCTGATGTGCAACTAGTATTTGTGGGATGAATTAGTGAATGAGCTACTGACTCCATTTTCAAACGAAAACAGGAGTTTAATAAGTTAGTTTCTGACAGTAATTTGACTTTTCCTGCCCTCCTTTAAGTAGTCAATACATAAGGGACTTTCCTTTTTTATTGGTATTATTTGTGAAATTCTGGCTAAGGAAAAAGGGAGATTCCTTTTAACAACATAATTCTGAGTTATTATTAGGAAGTTATTTCAGCAGCAAAATACCACAAGAACTCATGTATGTGGTCTGGAAGTACCACATATGTTGGCATTCTTATGATAGTTTATCATTGTTTACTTAAGGATAAATTCAAACTTTCCCTCCAGAAATTCACTTGTTCTGATATGGTATTCAGCTCATCTTATAAAAATTATACAAAAATGTACCCACTTTTATTTAAAATTACAATCTGTTAACACTTCTAAGTTGGTATTTACCTATCTCCGTCCTTACCTCCAAATTAGTTTCTTGTGTCTGTGCTGTTTGCAAGACCTTGTGCTAGGTACTTTAAGTACATTACCTTTTAAATCTCTGCTTGCTGCTACTGAGAGGAGGAAAAGACAATGCCAGAGAAGCCCTAGAATGAGGCAGAAGGGGCTTTGTCTGCCTTCAAATGCTGGCACTCCATCCTGACCTTCTGTGTGGCCTCAGATAAATTTTAATCTGTTTTCCTCAGTAAAAAATATTAATCTAAGGCTTGCATTATAGAGTATGAAATGAGAAAATAACTGAGGATGCTTAGAAGATTAACTTGATTATTAGTTTCCTTTTTCCTTTCCTTGGATATATTTCATTTTCAAGCTTTGAACATCCTGACTCATCCAGAGAAATCAAGTTTGATAATGAAAAGCACCTACTTTATCATCACAGCTTTGTATAACTAAAAGTTACTCATTGAGCCTGTCTCATTATATAGTGGAAATTGTGTCACTGACTTGCCCTAAGTCACATAACTAATTCAGCATTAGAGACAGGACTACAAACCCAGGTTCTTGGTCTTGATGAAATATTCTTTGCATTATGCAAGCAAAAGCTGTATGATATAATGTATAAGAGCGTGGATTCTAGAGCCAAATTGCCAGGTTTGAATCTCAATACTGCCCTTTATTAGCTGTGTGATCTTGGGTTAACTTTTTAAATCAGGGATAATAAAGAAGACTACCTCATAAGGTTGTAAGGAAGAATAAGTAGGTCTTACATGTGTAGAGTAGTCTGTGGTCCATAATCTATGCTACATGTATAAAGGCTATACATTTTTATTACTAGTGATAGTAGCAGTAGTAACAACGTAAGTAAAAATACGCATTTTCCTGGTAGATTCTTCCCATTGCAGATGGGAAATAAAAAATATGAAAGATGCCATCTGGAAGCCAGCTAGACTCTAATATTAAATTCATTTTAATAAGACAATTATATCTAGGTCTTGCCTGAAGCAAGATTAGCTCAGAACATTTTGGATTTATTCCTGATAGACCCTGACAACTCTTGAGGTTTCCCTAGGATGAAGTCCAAAGTATGTCTAGAATGATTCTGGGAAATAAGAGCTTGAGACACAGAGGATTGACCTGTTTTGATTGACCACTTAAGATGAAGAGGCTCTAGGAGATTCCTGTGTGCCAAAGCTATGAACCAAGATTAGACACACAGAGAATTTTCTGGCAAGGATGCTATGGTGAGAGGCCACATTAGAAGACATTGGAGAACTAGGAAAGCAGCTGTTTGGTAACTGGCTTGTACTTTTTTTTTTGTCAGTTCATTCCTATTGTTCCTGACTACACACATACCCCCATGCCAACATTGTCATAGTCAGACTATCCTCCATTAT